TTTTTTTTTTTTTGCTTTTTATTGGCTTCCTTTTGTTTAGGACAAAGTCCAAATTTCCAACATAATTCTCTAAATTTTTCTCTGATCACTCTTACCAAATACGCTCCAAACACACTGAATGTCTCATTATTTCCTAAACACATACTTTCCTTTCATAATGTCATATCTTTACGCTTACATTTCCTCTACATGACACATTTTTTCCTCCCTTTCTCTACTTAGAGTACTCAAGCTCAGTGTATTATGACATAATACACATTCTACTGTAATTATCTGTCTCCCCAGTAACAACATGGGGTTTTCAAGGGCAAGAGCAGTTGTGACATATTCACTATTGGATCCAAAAATTTAGCATAATGCTCAGAAACCAAGGGACATCACTAAACAGTAAAATAATGGCAAAAGTCCTATCAGTACATAATGAGAGCAACTTTTAGAAAGTACCTGACTGGAACTGGTCAGAATTCCAAAGAGAATGGTGCCACCTTCTGACAGGGACAGCAAAATACTCTTAAAGGGAGAAGGGTACACCTCATGTCAAGGGCATGATGTCAACAGCCTCTCAGCCATCCTCAGAGGACTGGCAATTCAGATTGCTGCCCACACTAGCACAGCCCAAGCTCACTGTGAAGAACATGAGTCCCCAATGTCCAATGTTTGGCTAGTGTTTCACGGAAAGCAGTCATAACAGAGCCAAGAGATGACCAGTTCTACAGCTAACACATATGGTCCTCAAAGCAAGGGAGAATGAAAATGTCCATGGCAACTGATAAAGATGGTAGATAGAAAGCCAGGTCTTCTGCGTGACGCCCAGAGACACCAAGCATCTTCCCTGAATGTTCCCACCTTCTCTTCCTAGATAGAGATCTATTTTCCTCCTCCTCTTCCTCTTCTCTCTCTAAATGAAAGGCCACTATAGGCCTTTTCCTACCCCAACCCGTCCTTCAGCTCCTCTTGAAAGAATACTCCTGGAGAACATTCACAGCCAGGTTTGCACTACAATACTCTAGTTCTACTGAGTTTCTCACAATCTCCTGAACATGTGATGCCTTTTCATAAGTAATACTTGAAAAACCAGTGTGAATCTTTCTCTTACTTGCCTTTTTGAGTATCTGCTTTTTTTTTTTTTGAGACAGAGTTTTATTTTGTTGCCCTCAGTAGAGTGCCATGGCCTCATACCTCATAGCAACCTCAAACTCTTGGGCTCAAGTGATCCTCTTGCCTCAGCCTCCCAGGCAGCTGGGACTACAGGCGCCCATCACAACATCTGGCTATTTTCTAGGAGTCTTGCTCTGGCTCAGGCTGGTCATGAGCCTGTGAGCTCAGGCAATCCACCCGCCTCGGTCCCCCAAGGTGCTAGGATTACAGGAGTGACCCACCTTGCCTGGCCGAGTGTCTGCTTCTTCTTTTTTTTTTTTGGGCTGGGGCCAGGTTTGAACCCACCATCTCCGGTATATGAGGCGGACACCCTACTTCTTGAGCCACAAGTGCTGCCTCTGGAGTGTCTGCTTCTTTAGCCACCTTTGGGCATATTTTGAAGCTCAGGCAAAGAACCTGCACTACCCTGGATGCTGTACTGAAAGGAGAGTATGTTCTCTATGCCTGGCCGTATGGAAGCTGGCAACCTTGGGAATATCATGTAACAACAGATGGGGAACTTTCTGAAAGGCCAAGTACCCTGAATGACCTCTATTTTGTGCTGAACTAGTTTAACACCTATCCCTTCCTCCTTTGAACCTGAAAAAAAATACTCCACGAGTTCCTATCTCTCTTACTCCCATTCTTTATAGATTTAAAGCTCTCAGCAGAGTCAGTTACTCACCCCAAGAATCTCTACATATTCATAGATCTGGGCTTCTAGGAAAGCAATGTCTTTGTTCCTCTCAGTGTCTCTGAAAAAATAACAACAATAAAATAAAACAAAAAAAAGCTGTATTACTCAAGGATTTTTCTGCCCAATGCTTTGTTCCTTGTATCTGGAAGACCTGTTCCATGGCTGTGTTAAAAATTACTAGCACATGGCTCAGCACCTGTAGCTCAGTGGCTAGGGCACCAGCCACATACACCGAAGCTGCTGGGTTCAAGTCCAGCCTGGACCTGCCAAACAAAATAGCTGGGTGTTGTGGTGGGTGCCTATAGTCCCAGCTCCTTGAGAGGCTAAGACAAGAGAATTGTTTAAGTCCAAGAGTTGGAGGTTGCTGTGAGCTATTATGCCATGGCACGCGACATAGTGAGACTGTTTAAAAAAAAAAAAATTACTAGCACATGAGAAATATCATTTCTGTGAAAGCAAATGATGTTCATCACAGTACTCACTAACAAAACTACTGAGGTGGCTCGGCGCCTATAGCTCAACCGGCTAGGGCGCCAGCCACGTACACCTAGGGTGACGGGTTCGAATCCCCAGCCCGGACCCGCCAAACAACAATGACGGCTGCAACCAAAAAATGGCCGGGCGTTGTGGCGGGCGCCTGTGGTCC